TCATCACGAAAATCAATGGCATTAATGCTATATTTTAAGAAAAATAATAGAGACACCGGGAGTAGTGCACCGAATTTGTGCACCAAATGACATGGCGAAATTCTAATTGTTGATTAATTATAATATAATATTAATAGACGGTCAGGATTTCGTCACGTCATTCTATGCACAAATTCGGTGCACTACTCCCGATGACTTTAGTATTACTCATATTTTATATGAATCTAAAGACCAGGCTTTTTGAATGCCTCCTAGAACTAAAGATGACAATGGGCCTAGTATTTTCGGGTACATGACCTAACCCATCTTGAAAAGGTCGGGCTTTTCCTAATGTTAGCGGGCTTAGGCTTGGGCCTGAGATTGATTTTAAGGCTTGCCCTCGGGTACGGGCCGGGCATGAGTATGTCTTTAGTCTTGGCCCGGCCCAGCCTAACCTGACAATTTTACAAATTAATTTTACTAAATTACCCTTACACTATATATTTAATTATAGAATTATCCTACATATATATAAAAAATTGAAATTTATTAATATTTGGTGAGTATTAAAAAATAAATTAATATTTAAAATTTGTTTCTAGAATTAAATATATATAAAAAAAATTAAAATTTATTAATATTTAAAAATTCACATTATAAATATGGGTAGGCTTGGGTTGGGATTGAGATTACAAAAAGCTCATTGGGCCGGGCTTGGACTTTACCTATCATCCCCGTGACGGGCCCGAGCCGGGATTGAGCCTTTATCATGGGGTTGGGCTTGGTCCTAGGCCAAGGGGTACCCGGTCTCGGTTCGGCCTATTGCCATCTCTACCTAGGACCTAGGTTTAACCGAACAAGTCCGACTCGGGTATTTACGCCCCTAATTTTCCAATACCCCAAATATCTTTAAGTATCTATTAGCTTAAAATACCCTTTACACCCCAAGATTCTTATTTTGATTCGAATTGAAAATTATAATAAAATGAGAAAAACTAATATACATATAAAAAAGAAATCCCCCATCTAACTATTTTTTTATTAAGAAATATTCTCATATATAACCATTCTTACTAATTTTAATTCCCAAAATATCACAGTTTTATTTTAAGAACATATTTAGTCATAAGATCATACAACTTAACCTAATAGTCCTTAATGAAAATTAACAAGGATAAAATAACCAAATGGGCCAGGTTATCAAGTCTATCACCATCTAGCACGGTCAATATGGTTTAACATGTTTTAATTAGATTTTCAAGTTCTGTATAATTTAGCATTATCTAATGAAAATGTATCATTTGTTATATATGCATGCAGCTGAAAATGGCACTCATTTCAATTCTCCTAAATTTTACATGCATTACAATTTTTAAGCTGAATTGACCCTGCAATTTTTGCTCTTTCAAAGACAAGACCATCAAGACTTAAGACCTTTCCCTTTTGTAAGTAATTTTTGATAAAACATAAAATAATACCAACACAATCAAGCTAACATAGCAAAAGAGGGACGACGAACCTTTGTCGTCACGTTATTTCTTCTCACCAATAAACTAATAAATAACAAATCTTTATATAAAAATTATAAAACTCTTGATTCATCAATTAAATCAAACACTAATCTAATAGATAACGCACTAACGAAACTTTTAGTAAAACTGATATGTTTGATATATTTTCCAACACAGTTTCCATTTTTCCTCTTCATTCAATGCAACCATTAATATCACCTCTCTCTCTTTCTATATAAACTCCTCAACAGAATTCTCTTTTCATGCATTCAGTCTCTCTTTTTCTTCGAAAATATCAGCCATGGCTTCGGGAATGTTCACTAGGGAAAAATGTGTTTGGGTTTTTTTGAATTTGTTTTTTCAACTTAATCCTTGACGGTTAAAAATTGTCAAGAATTGAGACAACGACTATCAAGAAAAAAATAATATAATTTATTTTTGACCAAATCCTTGACAGTTAATAACTATCAAGAATAATCCAAAACGGCTAAGAATTATTTCAAATTCTTGACAGTTTATAAACTGTCAAGAATTTGTGAAGAATTACAATTCTTGACATGTTTCTAGAACGGTCAAGAAAATCTGTCAACTCATTCTGTCAAGGAAGGAGGTTTTTTTAGTAGTGAAAATTCTGTAGCGGCAAAGTAAACATATCTCTCATACAGCGAGTAAACCATTATAAATTTTGTGTTTGTGTGTTGATTATTTGTTTGCCCTTTGTTCGCATTATTTTTATTTTCATAAGAATTTAGGATTTGCTAGCATCTAATTACATCCCCACAACAGATTGAAGCTAACACTCATGTCCTTAGGTGAGAATTAGACAATTCTTTATGTGATCATCAATGACCTTTCCACATGTAACAATGCATCAATGGACAAATGTAAAAATTTTGTAGTCTCAAAGGACGAATTATGTCATATTACCACTTTGATTAGAGTCATTGAGACGTCTGAATTCTTTTCTTTGAGAATGTGATGAGCCACTTCATTAACAAAGTTGAACAGCGAGAGAAAACTTGTTTTCATTTAACTGGGAAGCTGTTTCATTGCTTTAATGTCCCATCTGAATTCTTGGTGTAATATAAAAGCATCATATAATTTTTTCTTAGAACTGCTAGGTTTGTATAACAAGAAAATTTTGCCCAAGAATTACCTCGTAGTAGCATCAGTCAAGAGCTCTAGTTCAGGCAAGGTACCATAAACATCATAAATATCGTCAATTACTGTAATTAGAGCAACGGCCTTTGCAACGAACTTTCTGCAGTAAGAGTACTGAGGTTGAAAAGCTACACCCAAACCTCATAAATATGCTGTTATGAAGTTGCACCTAGCAAAGTTAACTCTCGAAGACCAGTATTCTCCCACCACCTTCAAAAGCAAAAAAGTCAATTGGTTTTAATGTAAATTTATATGTGAAATTATATTTTTGTATCTTGGCTCGTCTCTTTTATCGTCGATACACTCTTGGTCTTAACTGGTCAGATCGTGTCTCCGACACTGTTACTTTAAAGAAATTAGAGTGCTCAAGAGTCAAGGCAAGCCTACACTTTGGATACATTAGCATGAAATAATATCATAGGATTTTAATCCTATTTGTTGGCCTTCGGGATCGAAGTAATGATTAACAGGGACAGTTGAAGGTATTCTTATTTCATAGTCAGAGGTGAAATTCTTGGATTTATGAAAGATAAACAAATGCGAAAGCATTTGCTAATGATGTTTTCATTAATCAAAAATAAAAGTTGGGGGCTCGAAGACAATTAGATATCGTCCTAGTCTTAACCATAAACGATGTCGACCAGGGATTAGTAGATGTTGCTTTTAGGACTCCGTTGACACTTTATGAGAAATCAAAGTCTTTGGATTCTAGGGGGAATATGGTCACAAGGCTTAAATAAATTGATGGAAGGACATCACTAGCAGTTGAGTTTGCAGCTTAATTTGACTCAACATGGGAATATTTATCAGGTCCAGACATAGTAAGGATTGACAGACTGAAAGTTCTTTCTTGATTCTATGGGTAATAGTGCTTGACCGTTCTTAGTTAGTGAAGCGATTTGTCTAGTTAATTTTGTTAAAGAACGAGACCATGGTCGTTGTATAGATGCTGTGGCATACTCGTCTTAATTATCACTTTCTCTTCTATTTTTTTTTTTTTTCCTTCTTTAATTATTTTATATCAAGTCAACTGTACATTTGTCCAGTAAAATCTTATTCATATATGTGTTTACGAAAAATGATTAGATAATACATATTAACATATATTTAATCCATTTTCATTCTCTCTAATCTATAAATAAAAGAGAATTCTCCAAATTGGTAAGAATTTTGTGACGTATATATATTTTTATTTTAATTTAATCAAGATATTTTCATTATATATTTTCAATAAATATCAATTACATGTGTTTATTTTTATTTTTAGAAAAATCTATTAGTCATAACAAATAGTTTTAATTCTCTAATTTGTTCACTTTTAATTTTTTAATTTATATATATATATATATTTTGCATAATTTCTTAGGGTTCATTAATTAGTAAATTCGCGTATTATTCGCGAATTACACTCCCAACTGTATAATTCATGTATTATTCACGAACAACCATATTTTATTAGCCCAACCGTATTATTCGTGAATTATATGCCTTAGTTGTATTATTTGCGAATTATTCTCGTATCTGAATTTTTGCCAAATTTTTACAAACGTATTTTTCACCAATTTTCGTATCATATCTGTAAAATTCCCGTACCTTTTTTTGTCTTACCTATATATTTGAAATGTTATATAGATTTTAACCAGGTGGGTTATGAAAAGTGCTAAAACTAGGATTGATATTGTCGTATTTTTTAAAACGTATTATTGACAATATACCGTATTAAACCCATATATACGTGTACCATATTTTTTTCGTATCCGAATTTTATAGCCGAATTTTTATAAACGTATTTTTCATCATTTATCGTATTTTTTTTTTTTAATTTCTGCAATTTCTTTATATTAACAAAATCAATAATTTGTTTATATCTAGAAATTTTGCTGGACTATACGAAAATGATTTAAAATCAATGATTTCAAAATTGATCAAAAATATTTATACAATTCAATAAGTAAAAAAATAAAAAAAAATAAAAATTTGCTGGACTATACGAAAATTATTTAAAATCAATGATTTCAAAATTTATCAAAAATATTTATACAATTCAATGAGTAAAAAAAAAAAAAAAAAGAAAATTCCCCCAAAAATTATAATCTTTACTTTTCAATTAATAAGAAGAGAGGCAACCAACAAAAGAAAAAACTTTTAAATATNATAAAAAACTCCCCTAATCCAGAAATCCAAAACCGTATCCTTAGCTCCATCGTAATGCATGATTAACGAGACCACTCACTCCTTACGTGTCATGTCTCTATTGGTTTGCTCTCACTCGTCAGGATTCATAGCAACACAACCAATAAACAATACCAGTCACTCTCAAGTCTCATCTCTCTCTCTCTCTCTCTCTTTTTCTCTCACACTCACACACAAAATTCACACACGCGCTCTCTTAACTTTCTCTCTCCTGCTGTGTGTTTTCTCTCTCCAAAAAAATCCCAATTTTCTCCCAAATTCCTCTCTGTTTTGCTTTCAAAAACTTCACATTTAAACTCACCAATGCATGATCTTCAGTTTAAATACAATTTCGACTCCTAAATGTTATATCCTCACTGATTTTTTATAAGTTTACTATTTTCAAAACAGAGAGAATGCTTGAAACAATGGAGAGTTCAGTTAATGGTGGGTTTTCACACTTACAGAGTTGTGGAGATAGCAGTGAAGAAGAACTCTCTGTGCTTCCACGTCACACTAAGGTTGTGGTTACCGGAAATAACCGTACCAAATCGGTTCTTGTGGGCCTTCGAGGTGTTGTCAAGAAGGCTGTTGGCCTTGGTGGCTGGCATTGGCTGGTAATTATTCTTATTTCATTTGATTTTACGCAGAATTTTGGTTTTTAAGTTTTTGAAGTTTGAATTTTGTATTTTAAAAGCTCCAAAAGATATTTTTTTAATAATGTGGATATACCTGGTGGTTTTGGTTTATTATTTATAGCAATTTTAAATCATTTCAATTAATAATTACTCATTTTTGTTTTGATTTTTCAGCATATTTTGTTCAAATTCAATTTAAATTTGGTTAATCTTATGAATGTTATTAGTTCTCCAATTATAAAACCTTGGTTTTTGGATGAATTTTCAAATTATTGGTTTTTCATTTGTGATTTTTTGAATTGGATTGTTATTTCAGGGTTTTAACTTGTAATTTTGAGGTTTGGGAAATGGATTTTGCTTGCATGTTTGTTTTTATGTATGGATCTGGAGTTCTGTTAGGTTTTGAGCAATGTGGTATTGTTTTTTCTATTAAAAAGAAAAAAAATTGGCGAGGACTTGTAACTATGTTGAATTTATTTACTATTTTTTTGTTTCCAAATTTATTTTTAGCACTTTCATTGATAAAGGTTTAATTACTGTCAGAGCATGGTCTTTTGGTATATTAGTTAGGAATTTATCTTTGCATTGGGTTTACTTTGAGTTTTAGGCACTTGATGGAATTTATTTGTGATGGTTTTTTCTTGTATTGTAAGAGAAGTTCAACATTTTATTTTTTGGATTTTGATGTATTATTCTTAGCACAATTAAATTTTTGAATGTTCTTGCACGTTCTATCCTTGATCTTCTTTTGCTCAATAATTATTTCTAATTTACATGCTTCCTCCGCTGTCTGTGAAATTTAGCTATTTTATTTCAGAAGTACTCCTGTTTATTGACTTCCTTTATGAAGGTGAACAATAAAAAACCGAGGCTTATTGAAAATAAACATACCTATATCCTTGGTTATGACATTGCAACTTAATTTCATTTTTGCTTCATTTCCACTTCTTTTATCAAGATTAAACTAATAACAAAATAAAATCTGCATTTTCTGTTCTTTGACCTGTTTTGGGTTGAAATAATGATGCCTAGTTTTTTTGGAGTTTTCTACCTTTCTGTTATTCCCTAATAGTTTAAAATAGCTTGCATTCTGTTTTAGCTGGTCTATGTCTTCAGGGCACATTTTAATTTTGAATTTTTATTATCTAACAACATTTATATGTTTTTCTTATCCATGTTTAGCTATTTGGTTTAATGACTGTCTGTGTGTCAGTTTCAATTGAAGTAAATGTCTTTATAAGATGGACTTGGTTTCCAGATAGACTGTTTATAATTTGTCAAATAAAAGTCGAATTTCCCGTTGAACTTCTATTTTCTGATACTAGATTGTTTGACTATGAGTATTATGTTTGTTTGTTCAACTGATCGAGCAACAGGTTCTAACTAATGGGATAGAAGTGAAGCTGCAAAGGAATGCCCTCAGTGTAATTGAAGCTCCTACTGGTAATGAGGAAGATGATGACCTTGAATTTGACAACGGGCCTTGGAATGTATCAGATATGGGTGAGTTTGATTCTTCAGTTATTTCTTCCTTAATGTTTTAAATTTTGTGCTCCTGACATCAATTTTTTAATTGCATGAGTAAAGCAGGAACTCTCCAATTTTTGGGTGTCAGTACTAATTTTGGAATGCAATTGACTCTACAAACTTGTGTGATTGTGTTTCCTTTCCTTTCCTTTCCTTTTTCTTTCTAATATTGTATACATATGAATGATTGAATCTGCTTGAAGCATGATTTCTTTCAAATTTTGCTTCAATAGATTGTTATTAGTAAGTGGCACAATCCTTTTATTTAGTGGCAAACTGAACTGTTTGTTTCTACTTTAGAAATTGTGTTTGGAATAATGCATTATTTTTAAGAAAAGTGGTTGAGGTTGTTACATAGGATCCATTCTCTTCACCTTTTACTTTCACTATAGCTAAAAGCTTTTTTGTCTCACATCTTTATCTTTTTATAAAGCCCCACCACCCTTTTTAATTCTTGCTTGTTCTATTTCTTTCCAGCATCCGATGACACTCAAAAGTCCCACAGATCAAGGCATAGAATGCATAAATCAACTGGTTCATCTCACAAGACTATGAGCAGGTCTCTATCTTGTGACTCCCAGTCAAAGGGATCTATTACTACTCCCCGTGGGTCCATGGTATATAATCTTCAAATTCGTATTTACTGTAATAAACAATTTTTATATATAACTATACTAGCTGTATTAAAAAAAAATACCGAACAAAATTGATAATGTAATATTTTCCCAACTGTTTTCATTTTCTTTCAAACATATTTCCTGCAGAAGGTTGACCTTAGCAAACTGGAAATGGCTGCATTATGGAGATATTGGCGACACTTCAATCTTGTGAGTTTTATGGAGCAAAGTTGATGACAAATTCTTACTGCCTTAAGAGTTCATTCTTTTGACAATAAACATTTTGAAATTTTCTAGGTGGATGCTATCCCCAATCCATCAAAGGAGCAACTAATTGATCTGGTTCAGAGGCATTTTATGTCACAGGTACCTGCAGGACTGTGCACTGACTTTTATTTCACCCTTGTGTTTTGTCCGAAGATCTGGCAATTACTTTTTCAAACCCCATTACCAACTTCTCAGACAATTCTTCATTTACACACCACCCTATATAATCCCAAAAACAACTCTTCCCCTCTTTCTTTTTCTACTTTAAGTAAAACATTCCTCTAAATTTGTTAATAGATCTCTTTGTCTTTTTCTTCCTATGCAAAAGCTGGTTTATTAATGCCTTTTCGTGATTAGGTTGGTCTGTCAGCGCATATATTTATATATAAAAAACTAGTTGGTCTTTTGAATTAATATTTGTTTTGTTGGTGAAGCAACTGGACGAGCTGCAGGTGATTGTGGGGTTTGTTCAGGCGGCTAAGAGACTTAAGACTGTATGCAAATGAGGTGGAGATGGTAAAAGTTTGGTTGTGAATGCTAACAGCTACTGGTATCCTAATGTCCTCTTTCCCTACCCTTGTAGTGATAATATATGTAACATATGTATCCGTGGTTTGTTTATGGATGTTTTCTTCATTTCGGTAAGTAGGTTAATATTTAATTAGTTATAGAGGTTCTTACTTTTTGGTAGCATAGTTAGTTTGTAGATATTATCCTAAACCGGTGACTAGACCTTTAAGAAGTCCCTATGCCTTTCTTTCTAAGCTTTGTTTTATGTATTTGCTGACTTGGGGATTCCCTAAAATTGTATATATTCTTCGTTTTCGGCCATTCTCCTTTTCCTGTTTTATGTTGCCTTGGTATTTATAATTTATGTGCCCATAATAGTTATTATTAGTTGGAGATAAAGATACATCAATTTTTGAATTACCAATTGGTCATTTCATAATTTGCATGGTAAAATGAAATGGATGTCATTTCATGTATAAAAGTACATTAAACCGTAAATGACCCCGTGACAATTCAAGCATGTTTACCAGCTTTTCTTTCTAACTCATGTCATACTTGCTGCTGTAATTGTATTGCCTAAAATAGTAATTGGACCAAGTGTGAGTATTGCTTAGGTAAACAATGGTTTTTGTTGCCACACCCGTCTTAATCGCAACTCACAAGATCCATTGTATATTCAATTCAATAATACATACGTCCTAAGAAGTCAAAATCAAAAGATTTTGGTATCAAAATGGGACCCCACTGACATAAATATGGATCAGTGTTGAGCCCCATCCCCATGCATCTCCAATTATACCTAAAAATGATGGTAATAGCCACTAGTCAAAACATTAATAAAACAACAGTAAATCAATCTTTATCTTGTAACTAGGAATCAATTTTCTGCCTATCCTATTGCAGTTAGGTTGGGAACATATGGTAGGTTATCATCTAAGGCTGAAGTTGTAAATACGATCTAATACAGCATGTTAAGCATTTTGGAAGTTGTGGTTTAAGAGGTTCCATGTGATGAATCCAAATTACCCTCTGAAAGTACTTATATTATAACATATCAACTGAAATGATCAGTTTAAGAGGTTCAGGTTGTTTGTTGTGGAAATAGTGAATTTGATTGCTCAGCTGGAAAGGAGCTTCCGCTCTGCTCACACCAACACCATCCCCCATTCTATTCTTGTATCTTTTGTAACAAGTGATAGTTTCCCAAAAACAGGAGCCAATAGCCCAATCCAGAAATTGAGTAAGAGCAGCATAGTCAAAAAAGAAAGACAAATGCACGCCAATAAAGTTGTTTGGTTGAAAGCTAGTTATTTAGAATGAACAGAAATAGCTTTTCCACACCATAAATTGAACCCACCATGTGCACTGCCTTCTGCCCTTTTTCCCCCTGGGTAAACAACCTTGCCTTATAAAGTAAAACAACTGCCTCCACCATTTACCCATTCCCTCTTGGGAAATAACAAGTTGTGTGTACCTTGAGCATTACTTCCAATCAATCCATGCCCTTTTTTTATGGTAAAATTTATTGCTATTACTTTGTGTTGAAGCTATCGTAATTCTTCGTTAGATTCATAAAAGGAAGTTATGCATTTTCAACAACAATCGTAGTGCTTCTAGTTCAAAACTTAAAGTCAACAATGTTTTTTCTGGTTTGTTTTAAAGGCCGTCCAATCCCCTATTGGACCCGATTAATCCAAAACATTCAAGTTGGGTTGGAAGCTGGACCAAAATGCGGCCTTAATTATTGCACAACTTGTAAACTAAGTGCTTTTGGTAAGAACATTAAGTTGATTAGACCCACGTTCGTCTCCTTTGGTAAAGCTTTATCTTGAGCTTGTAGCCTAAATTAAAGTGTTATATATTGAGCGTGCCGTGCCGTATATGCTAATACTTTCTTGAATATAAATCATAAAGTTCTATGAATTTACAACATTCATTTTCTTCTTGTTTATCAAATTGCTTAATCATTCTTAATTTGGTGATCAATTGCTTTTTCTACTTGCTTTAACAATCAAATTTCAAGTTTTCAACCATGCAATAGAATAAAGCGGAGTTTCCCGTTTCTTTAGTTTCAAACTTTTTCTTCTTCCTCCATTAATGCATTGTCTTTAGCTGGGCAAAGTTTCCACGATAGATATAAATGATGTTATTCTAATCAAGAAGAAGACAAAGATTCCTGCTGTTTTGGTCAAATATTCAATATAGATCCCAGAACGTGGGACTTCTTTGTGTCCAATCATCGAACCATAAAGAGACGTGTTATACAGCTTTTTCCATCCAAGTTGAGTAGCCAACAATCAAATATTGTTTTCATATTAATCACTGGATATAATGGGTCAAAGATTCATTTCTTCCACCGAAATGTTCAACTAAAAGCAGCCTTTTTCTCCTCTATTGCCCAGTTCTATTTATAATTTAGCAATTAGCACTTCATTTGCTGCTTTTCTCTTGCAACTCATAGCATTATCAAATACTTTTCCAGCTTTGAGCCATTGATTTTCTCTCATCAACTTCTTACTCTAATTGGAGCAACACAGTTGAAGTTATTTTGGTCAAAGTTTGTAAGGACACATCAATACATCATATTCAACAGCAATAAAGTGTCAAATTACGTGCTTATTATATCCATTCCAATTACCTTTTGTTAAACTTTTCCCTCAATTTGGGCACTTTTTTCCCTTTAATATGGGCAAATGGGTCCTCAACTTTCATCGGCAATGGCAGAGTGCTCTGTCTTCATCTCTTCACTAAAAGTTGCATACTATGACAAGCGCACTTGAGTCAGATTTAATATTCTTCGGCTATATTTTTTTTTATCCTAAATGATTTGGTGTACGGTGGGAAATTCCGTCCATTAAAGCAAAGCAAAATATATTTACTATTGCTCTTAGATATTTGATGTTTCATTGAGCGGTTAGACATTATTCCACCAACGTTTTTCTCAGAAAAGAATGATAAAATTACTCGTTTGGTTGAAGCAAGGGGATGATGATAGATATATCGCATGCCTTGATTAATTATGTGGTTTCTGAATTCTCAATAGTATTGGACGGTGGCGTTGTTGTTTTGTAATTGCCTAGTCCAAGACAGTCCCAAGTCCCAACCCGTCCAACAAGTCTGTGTATACCATGCGACTCCGTCCACCAACTTGAAACCCACTCTTTCTGCATAAAAGTCATAACAATAAGAACATATTTGGAAAATTTTATAAACAAAATCAAACACGCAAAAGCATATACACTTTCCCCACAACCACGCTCCTGTGGATAGTCATTTAGTCCAACAAAGAGTAGCTGTCACGCCCATAACAATGAACTGAAAGTCCAGAAAATACACGGAAATATTGCAATACTTTATCCTTATTTAATATTTTTATATAAATACAAGTTAAATGGTTTAAATATATAAGTAAAATATCTAAAAAATGAATAATTACAGTGACGATGATGGTACCTAACATTAGAGTTACTGTAATGCAACTGTCGGTTTGATATTTTTTGGTTTTGAGAAACATATCCATAAGATTAAGACACATGAATCAATTCTTATATCTTCGTTATATGAATCTAACTGGGTAGCCAGGCCAAATTTATTCTATCCACCCAATATAAATAAAGTAGTGGAATTTTTGGTTAAACTAAGGATTCAACATGCCAGATGGGGCTGCCTCCAACATTTGCACAAGATTAGGAAGGCTGCTGGCTCAAATATAAATTTATATATGCGTATCCCTACAGCATCTATGCAGTTGTTTGTGCCACAAAGAATTATACAGATTCTCGTATTATACAAACATCTGCATATGGTTTTAATGATATTATTCCCCAAATCTAATGTCCGCATCATTTTTAAGCTATTAGTTGAAAGAAGTGACCCTTGTCTTGCTCCATTGTTCACTACACTTGCTAAACGATTCTGGAATGGCTGCTTTCCATTTCAATTTGATCAACAATGTCAACGCTATCCAGGAATATATACATGTGACTTCACCTCTCACATGAGTCTCTGTCAATTAATATTAACAATACCAACGTCCCATTAATCAATATAAGAAGGACCATTTTTTTTTACTGCAGATTTATACGCCTCAAGCCACCTTTAACCGACTTAGCATCCAATCTGGGCATCTTTGCTTGAAGAATCGAAAGATTATCCATACACAAAAGCTTTGTTATTGAATCAGAAGCTGATTCTTGCGTTGCTGATATAATTACCTCATTAATTTTAATATCCATACTTGATTATTTATATATAATCTTCATCACTGCTGTCTATTTACAGACACATAAACTTTTTAGTTGTGCGTAAGATTTGGATCGCATTGTATGCCATGTGACGTGATTTCATATATTTTTATTTGTGGTATCTTTTCAAGACCTAACATTTCAAAACAAAGCCGAATTCTTAACCCTAATGGGATTAATTTATATATATAATTTTATTTGTCCTGAGTGTCCATTAGGGATAATGTGCTTTCTTTCTCATTACTAAAAGGAAAGTTCTAATGCGATTATTGTTTCAATTTATATGTTAATCTAAGAGAAGTTAAGCTAATCCATGCTGTGAACGTGGCGGAAGTTGTACTATCTCGTCTATGAAATTTAAGGTTAAAATCTGTACGGAGAGAAGATGAAAAATAGACTATCACAAGTATTGAGTTATCAATAATGAGTCAATACATAGTGTCTTCTGGTGTTCATCAATTGTGGAGCAGTGGAAGCCACGATTCCCCACTATTTCATTTCATCCTTAGTCAATTTGCCGAGTAAAACTTAACACTATTTGTAGATAATATTCTTCTTTTTCTAAAGCTCCCTCTCCCTCTCTTATATAATCTATGCCTTCATTTTAGTGGACGATTTTCTCTCGCTGCTCAAATTGTAGCAAGTGGCCAGCCCTTGGCAGAATCAACGGGGAAAGAAGACCCTATTGAGCTTAACTCTAGTCCGACTTTGTGAAATGACTTGAGAGATGTAGTATAAGTGGGAGTCGAAAGGTGAAAGTGAAATACCGCTATTTTTAATGTTATTTTACTTATTCCGTGAATCGGAAGCGGGGCACTGCCCCTCGTTTTGGACTGAAGGCCTATCTCAGTTGGCCGATATGGGCGAAAGACATTGTCAGGTGGGGACTTTGGCTGGGGTAGCATATCTGTTAAAAGATAACGCAGGTATCTTAAGATAAGCTCAACGAGAACAGAAATCTCGTGTGGAACAAAAGGGTAAAAGCTTGTTTGATTCTGATTTTCTGTACAAATACGAATCGTGAAAGCATGACCTATCGATCCTTTAGACCTTTGAAATTTGAAGCTAGAGGCGTCA